CACTGGATTATTTGTTTTTTGGGTGTTGAGTTTGATAAGTTCTTTATAGATTTTGGATACTAACCCTTTATCTGATATGTCATTTGCAAATATCTTCTCCCATTATGTTGGCTTGCCTTTTAGTTTTGCTGATTGTTTCCTGTTTATTTATTTTTTGAGAGAGAGAGACACAGAGTGTGAGCCGGGGAGGGGCAGAGAGAGAGAGGGAGATAGAGAATCTGAAGCAGGCTTCAGGCTCTGAACTGTCAGCACAGAGCTTCATGCGGGGCTGGAACTTATGAACTGTGAGGTCACGATTTGAGCCAACATCAGACGCTTAACCAGCTGAGCCATCCAGGTGCCCCAAGATTTTAGTATTATAGTGAGATGAAGGTAACAGTTGGTCACCCCATGGTCCATCTGCACAAGTGTGAGTCAGGGATTGTGTTCAGACTGGTCTGGGTGATCTGGGCCTGCTGCAACTCTTTGTCCAGGAAGTTGTTATTGCTTGAGGGTTAGTTTTTGTTCCCACCACAGGGATGTTATGCCCCTTGGGGTCTTTTGCCTGAATTAAAGATAAGCTGGAAAGAAGAACTTAAGGAAAAATGTGGGACAAAGGTTGGTGAGTACAAGCAGGTAGGCAGTAAAAGTCAGGTCTTCGGGTCTGGCTCTGACAATCCCTTTATAATTGCTACCACTTTATAGTTATACCCATTCCTCTCCGCTAACAGCCCCCCTATCCTTAGCTGCAGGCAACCACTAATCTGTTCTCCATCTCTATGATTTTGTCACTTCAAAAAATGTTATGTAAATGGAATCATACAATAAGTAGCCATTTGGGACTGGCTTTTTTCATTCAGAATAAATCCCTGGAGATTCATCTAATTCATCTAGGTTGTTTCGTATGTCAGTAGTTTGTTCATTTTTATTGCTGAGTAATAATCCATAGTGGGGATGTACACCATGGCTTGCTTATCCTGGCACTGGTTGAAAGACATTTGCATTATTTCCAATTTGGGGCTATTCCAAATAAAGCTGCTATGAATTATTTTATAATATGGCTTAGATAAATCAGACTCTTTCTGAGCTTGGGGGTAGTAACTACCTCACAGAATGGCTCTGAAGAATCAATGAGGAAATATATGCAAAGGAACTGGTACCAGGTTTGGTATTATTTAGGTGTTCTTTAATTTCTTACATCAATGTTTCATTGTTTTCATCATACAGAATCTGCACATATTATGTTATATTTATACCTAAGTATTTTGTGTTTTTAGTGCTACTACAAATGGTATTGTTTAAAAATTTTTAGTTTCTAATTGTTTGATAGTATGTAAAAATACAATTGATTTTTGTCTAGTTACTTATATCCTGTTACTTCATTAAACTTGGAAACTCACCCCCAATGGGATTTGTTTGTTTGTTTGTTTGTTTGGGTTTTTTGTTTGTTTGTTTTGTTTTTTAAAATTTATTTTTGAGAGAGAGAGAGAGAGAGTGCAAGCAAGGGAGGGGCAGAGAGAGGGGGACAGAAGATCCGAAGCAGGCTCTGTGCTGGCAGTAGCGAGCCCAATATGGGGCTCAAACCCTTGAACTGTGAGATCATGACCTGAGCCGAAGTTGGACTTTCAACCAACTAAGCTACCCAGGAGCCCCTGTTTCTTCTTTTTTACTACCAACCCCCCAGTACACTTACCATTATTTACTTGTAAGAGTCCCAAGTTAGTTGCTGTTTGTGTTTTGTCCAAAGTTTTTAGTTGTAAGAGACGAGGGAGAGAGGCTGTAATGGGATTACTGCATCTTGCTTACCACTGGAATTCATTATTCATTCTGATGCTCAAATTATCCTGGATTTGACCAGTGGGAACCTGCTCATGTCCTTTTGTATCCTTTTGACATGTGCCATCATTTTTTGAAATTTTCCTTGGTTTTAAGTACATTGTACCTTCCCCATCACAGCTCTGGAATCAGCCATTTCTCCAAGAAACCTTTATTCTTTTAGTGGAGAATGGTGTTTAGAAACCAGGATTTGGACACTGGGTTTGTTCGTTGCTGTTGGAATAATTGCTGCTCCCAGGCTCCCTCAGGAACAAAGCTAAGGTGTATGTATGTATGCATGCATGCGTGTATGTATGACTCCCTCATGAACAGAGCTAGGGTGTATGTGTGTATATATGTACGCATGCATGTATATACCCCGAAAGTTAGTAAAGGAAACCTCAACTAAAATTGCAGTTGGAAAGGCCAGTAGGGGGAGCTCTCACCCAACCACTTGTGGCCAGTTACCCCAAACTGGAGGACAAGTATCTTCCATCTCCCAATGGGAAGGTGTTACTACTTCACTACCTGGGCAAAAGGAAAGATAATTCTGGCCCAGCAACAAACCCAGCCAATGGGAAGTGCTGTGGCTCAGCCAGTGAGAAGCGATCATCCTGAACTCTTACTTTCCTCCCAGGAACTCTCATGTTTCCTTTGCTGACTTCCTTGCCCCCACCTCTTCTCTGTGAAACCCTTCCATTTTGCATAACTCTTCAAAGCATCTCTGTTTGCTAGAGGAGGTACCGCATGATTTATGAATTGTTTGATAAAGCCAATTAGATCTTCAAATTTACTCAGTTGAATTTTTGTGTTTTTACCAGTGTGTGTGTGTATATATATATATATGTATATTTGTATCTCTATTTCCGCATCTGTCTCTCTCTCTCTCTGGAAATCCATGAGTTCACACCAACAACTTTACCTCAAGTTTAACGCCAGGGGGTTTATTCCAGTTTTCTCCCTTTCCATACACTTAATTCCCTTCTTCAACAGAGAGAAACTTGGCTCTCAAGGTCTTCTTTGACCTATCCTCTTAAAAGTAGCTAGTCTCCTGTAGTTGCTTCCATTCCCCCAACCCTGCTCAAGGCTTCAGTGCTACTTGCTATCCCACCACAGCCTCCCCTCACCCCCCAGGCAAATGCCCGCCATGGCTGGCCCCACCTATGGCTTCTAGACAATCATTTAGGAATGGAGAGAGAAGGGGAACATTATTATTTTTAACTTAAAGAAAAATTGTGGTATAATCTACAAAACAAAATTTACCATTTTAACTGTCTTTAAGTGTATAGTTCAGTGGCAT